TTTGCACTCAGGAATCACTCCTGGTGGTGCTGGGGGGCCACATGGGATACTGGGAATCGAACCTGGGTCGGCCGCATTCCAGACAAAAGCCCGCTGAACTAGCGCTCCAGCCCCTGTCTCATATTCTTTAAGGAGCCTATGATTAAAGAATTTATCTGTTTGAAAGTGCATAGGAGTCTCCGTCTTTTGATTAAGCTGGGTTGTCCGGACAGAGCTAATTCTAGGGCCCCCCCATTGATTTTCAAAGCAACTACACCTTTAAGGAGCCAGTCTTATCCAAGAAGATCCTCCCATTCCGTTATTTCGCAGCCCTGTCCCCACTGCTATGATAAGCCAGTGAGGGCTCTTTGCTTTTCTCCTGGTCCACTGTTACAGTGGGTAGTTAGGGGACACACCTTCAGAGTCAGAGCAATTAAATTGTCTGTGTAAACCCATCAGAGGTTCTCAAGCAGTGGAGATTCGGCATTTGCTATCTTGACTGGGGGCAGTACCTGCCACCCCATGGGTAGAGGCTAGGGATTGTAGTGTTAAGGCAGTTCCTGTAAGAAAGGATTATTGTCCCCAAATATCAGGAGTGCAGGGATGGAGAAACCTTGCCTGTAGTAAAATTGAAGTCTGTATAATGATCTCTTCTTTTGGGGGCTTAGGGGGCAGTCACACCCGGTGATGCTCAGGGGTCACTCCTGGCTCTGCACTCAGGAATTATTCCTGGCTATGCTCAGGCATCATTCCTGGCTCAGCACTCAGGGATTACTCCTGGCAGTGCCTGGGGGACCATATGGGATGCCGGGGATTGAACCCGGGTTGGCTGCATGCAAGGCAAACGCCCTCCCCCTTGTACTATTGCTCTGGCCCTGATGATCTTTTCTTGAGACAGAGCGAGTGTCCTCCAGTGGGCCAAACAGTGGGACGTAGAGGTCGACACTGGGTGGAGTGAACAGGGCTTCACTGAGTGGAACTCCTGAGCCAAAGCAGCATGTACTTAGCACCTGCACTTGAACCAACTGGAGCTGCTCAGGGACCCCCAGGCTTCCTGTTTATGTGGAAGTTATGAGGTGACGAATGAAGTATAAAATCCTTGGTCAGGTGCCTGGTGCAAGGTAGGGTCTTGGCAGTGCCCTCCTCGTGTCTTGCTGTGGTCAAGCAGTTTGTGGTGAGTGCATAGCTGTAACCACTGTTTGCAGTCCTGGGCCTAAGTAAGGCCTTGCAAGAACTGTGGAATTTTAGAAATTGACAGAGGCTCAGTTTACAGCAGCTTCCGTGGCTCTCCTATGTTCCTCTGAGTTTTGCTAGAAACTTCAGGTTCTGTCAGATTGCCTGTGGTCTTCAGTCACTGTTCCTCTGTAGTCTGTGCCAGACACTGAAGCCGGTCACTCTCCCGGTCATTAGAAGCTCCTGTAACTTCGTTTAGCAGCCCTTAACACGGTTCTGTGCAGCTTTTCCACTCAGTGGCCGCGAATGTTCCCAAGGAGACTTGGGAGATGTTTGAGTGGGTCTTGGGTCCTCTGCTCCAGCCTGGAAGTTCAAAAGGAACTGAGAAACATTTAGCCTTAGATTGAATCCAGGAGGGAGAGGTCAGAGGGGAGGGGAGAGGGTCAGGTGAAAAGGGAAGGGGGAGACAGAGCAAATACTCTGTGAGACAGTCCCGAGAAAAGGAGGCTTCCTGGAAAAGAGACCAGGTTGAGTGGGCAGGTATGCTAGGCCAGTAGGGGCTGTACTGAGGTGTGGCTTAGAATGGACAGCTTGTATAGGCCTGTGAAAGTCAACTTAGGTATTCTAGAGAAGTCTGCTGTGAAGCAGTGTGATCACACGATCAGATTTGTGCTTAGAACTTCGATTTTAGAAGAGACTCACTAGGTCACTTAAAATTTTTAATCACTGGGGGTTGGAGCAATAGTACAGCGGGCAGGGCATTTGTATCTATGCAGCTGACCCTGGTTCAATTCCCAGTCCCACATGGTCCCCCAAGCACTGCCAGGAGTATTTCGTGAGTGCATGAGCCAGGATTAACCCCTGTGTATCGCTGGGTGTGACACCAAAAAAAAAAAAAATTCAAATCACTCAATTTTTGGAAGATTAATCGACTAACTTTTAAAGACCATTTTTAGAAATGAAAGTTTTAATGAGATACAATTCATATGCCACAAAATTCACCCCTTGTTTGGGGGTGGGGAGAGATTGGGCAACACTCAGCAATGCGGGGGGCTTCTGTGCTGTGGAACTTGTAGTGCAAGGAATCAAAGTGGGATTGGCCACATGTCAGGCAAGTGCTTAAATCCCCGTTCTCCCTCACTGGTCCCAGGCCATCCTTTTAAAGCATACAGTTGGGTGGGTTTTTCATATTTTCATTTTAGAGTCTTGTAAACACCTCCATGCTAATTTAAAAACATCCTCATCATTTCAAAAAAGAAACCCGTACCCTTTTGTATTCACGTTCCTTGGTCCCCTTCCCTCAAAATATGGCAACCACAGTTTACTTCTTGTCTGGTCTGCCAGATAATTCTGGAGGATTGATGCAGTGAAGTCATATAACCGGGGACTTTCGTGACTGGCTTGTTTCACTTAGCACATTGTGTTTCAAGTTCAGGTTGTGACATCCATCGTGTCTTTCCTCTTTATGGAGGATGATTATCCCGTTAGATGGCTCAAGTCTTGTTTGTTTATCCAACAGTTGGTGGACGTTTCAGTTTGCTTTTCCGTTTTTGGTGGGAGGATGCCGCCCTGAGTTGCCGTTTGTACCAGGCAGCGGTCAGAAGGAAATCAAGTGTTGGCCTTGGTCTTTTGAAAGCGAGACGTCATTTCTTTTTCATCTGAAGCGTATTCTGGGCAGCAAATAGTTTTTCTCAAAGTCATCATGGCAGTAAAGATCCAGTTATATGTGTTAATGTTGATTGAATTGAGAGAAATACTGTTAAAACTTGGAGTTTTCTTTTGGCACTTGAAAGCACTGTTGCCTTTAAAGGCCAGTTCCTTCGTTGCTCTGGAAGTCAGTCCATTGTTACTGTTCTACTTGTCCACTCCGAAGTGGACGCCAAGGTATTCTTAACTGCCCTGCTTCACTTGAATGACTTCTTGTCCACATTAATAGAATGTACCTGATTGCCTATTACTAAAGTAATGGCTTTCATCCTGATTAGTTATTTCATAGAATTAAAAAAATAAGTTAAAGTCAGACTGGCCCCAGCACTACAAAGTTCAGAATGTGCACCAGGAGGTCAGGAGGATAATAAAAAATGTTTTATGACCTCTGCTGGGGCATAACTTCAAGCACAAGGAGCATTAAGAATTAGTTAGTGATTAAGTGAGACCATTTTTAGACCAGGGAGAAAAGTATAAGCAGTGCCCGTAAGGAGCTTCGTAGCTTATCATATAGAATGGGAAAAGTAAGAATAATGTTAAGGCCCAAACCGTGTTGGCAGTAGTGTCTGTTTTTTATGGTAATAATGCTTAAGTGGTAAATTAGTCAGAAAGGCTTGGATTATCCAATTTAGATTACAGGGTTTGTAAAAAGATTAGTTTAATCTTTCAAGTTTTGCTGTGCCTCTTTGCTTGCTTGTATTGGTTTATAGGGTTCCTTTAATGTTAGTGTTAGGGATGTTACCCAAGATTTTGTACAACATTTAGCAAGCTTAGAGTGACTATAAAACTGGTCCACCAGTTGTGCAAGCATCTGGGATATCTGCTGGTAAATGGTTGTATTTATTAGGGGGAAGCAAGTTTCTCTTGGCCAGTAGACTCCTCTTGGGGAAAATTGATAGTTTCGTAGCAGATAATGGATTAATAATGACGGGTCTCCATTTTCATCATTGCACCTAATGGGCTTACTTTTTATCAAGCCATGTTAAGAGAACTCTTCCTGCTATTACTATTGTAGGATTTTCCTGTGTGGCCATACCACATTGAGGATTTGTGTGCCTTAGTTTATTTAATCCTCCTAGTACCCTACTGGATAGATAATAGCATATCTGTCGTCTACAGATGAAAGAAGGAGGCTTAGCGATTATTGGTTTGTCTGAGCTCACACAGGAACAAGAGAGTCAGGACTTGGCCCGTGGGGCTGGCTTTAGACCTGCTGAACGCCCCAGCCTGCCCCTTCTCAGACACATGAATGAAGAGGGGCTATTACGGAATTAATTTGGAACATTACATTTTAGCCACAGTCGAGATGCTTTTGTTAATGTTTAGAAAAGTTCGCTCTGGTTTTGGTCTATTTGAGGAAACCTAGTTCTTGGCATCCTGTTACCTTGTTGTCTGATTGATTGCAGCGTGACCTTAAGTAGCTTAATGTTCCCTAGCACACTTGCCCCTGTCTATCAGCAGATCAGGTGACCGAATAAAGCACACCTCAGATCTCTACTTAACCTTCCCAGGAAAGGCTGCTTAATCAGGCCCTGCTGCTCACTCTGCCGTTGATTGGGTTGTTCTGAGCTAAGTTGTTCGATTATATGGCGGTTTTCTTATCTGAAAACAAGTTTAGGGGCCGGAGTGATAGCACAGCGGGTAGGGTGTTTGCCTTGCATGAGGCTGACCTGGGTTTAATCCCCGGCATCCTATAGGGTCCCCCAAGCACCTTCAGGAATGATTTCTGAGTTCAGAGCCAGGAGTAAACCCTGAGCATCACAGGGTATGACCCCCCCCCCAAAAAAAATAGAAACAAGACTAGTAATGTTAGTTACTGCTTTCAGATCCTGAATTTCACTGAAGAGACCAGTAGAGTTTCTTGAAATCTCAGTCGGGTGGGAAGGTAGGGATCAAGTATTGGGTCTAGAGTCAGACCGTGACGGGCCCGGCCTGGCGCTGCCACGTGCTCAGCTTCATGACTGGCAGGCCTCTCCACCCTGAGAGCAAGGCCTACACAGGCGATATAGCACTGAGATTTTATATATTACAGGGCATGTGAGTATGAGATGCTGATTATGGCAAAAATTGTTTTTGAACTCCTTAAATGACACGTTGGTTGTGGTGTATTTTCAATTTTCTTCTTCTTCTTTTTTTTTTAGTGGTATGTGTGCAACAGAGAGAAATTATGTGAATCACTCCAGGCTGTCTTTGTTCAGAGTTACCTTGACCAAGGAACACAGATCTTCTTAAACAACAGCATTGAGAAATCAGGCTGGCTCTTTATCCAGTTATATCACTCTTTTGTGTCATCTGTCTTCAGCCTTTTTATGTCTAGAACGTCTATCAATGGGTAAGTGACTCCTGGATGCATTTTTCATTGATCTTTAGGTGTAAAACTAAAGTGAGCAGTGTAGCCAGATGAGTGTGATCCTGGCTTGTTGAACAGCAGCAGCAGCAGCAAAGGGAAGCGAAGGGAGGCGGAGGGGGAAATGCAGATTCTGGGTTGGCCGGACTGGGGGCATCCTGCATCTTTAACAGGTTCCCCAGGATGCCTGCGATGCTGCTAATCCCGTACCACGGAGCGGAGCTGGATCCTTGGGGAAGCCCTTAGCATAGTGAGGCTAAAGACCTTGATGTTTGCAGTTCCCAAGCCCCGGGTTTTGGGGGACAATCTAATTTAGCATTGTGTCGCGATTGGTTTCAGGTTCAGATGCTCAGGGTCCTGTATCAGTGCTTTCATAATGCTGAGGCTCACCAGAATTTTTAACCTTGCTATGGAATTCTTTCTCCTGCAAGTGTCTCACATCAACCCTGAGATGAGCTTTTGGAGGATACACACACACACACACACACACACACACACACACACACACACACACACCTCGTTGGCTGAATATCTAAATATCCTAAGACTTAAAAAAAGCTGAGGTAAGCAACATGTCTTAATGCTTACGGAGCCTGATGGACCACTTCAAGCCACCACTTGGACCCACTTCTTTTTCCCCTTGTGGTTTGGAGCCAGCCCCCACTTAATATCTGGATTCTTAGTCTGTCATCTGTTTGGTCCTGGAATATGTTTTCAGATACCACAAGCCATTTCTCCTTATTTCTTGATTTGTGTGTGTGTGTGTGTGTGTGTGTGTGTGTGTGTGTGTGTTGCTTATATGACATTGCCTTTAGTTTGCTTTGGTGACCAGTTATTTTGAATTGGTAGTTAAGTTTATATGGCACAGCCTGATACTTTGTTATTAAAATGGGCTATACCATGTATCTGTTCTTTATCAAGTAAATTTTTCTTTGGAAAGTACACAAGTAGCTGTATTAACGATTTGTATCCTAATTGTGGTTTTGTACATCTTTAAAAGTTACAAAAGGTAGGAGTAATCTCTTCAAAAAATATTTCAATATTTTGTATCTAATTGAGGGATATTTAAAACTTAAAACTGAGTTTTTAAATCCCTCCACCTCTACTTGATTGCAACCTGGGTCGAAGTTTCTCTTTTGAAATTTTATATCTTGGTTAAAGAGACGTAATATTATGATCTTTCTCCTCTATAGCTCTTCTATTTATTTATTTATTTATTTTGCTTTTTGGGTCACACCCAGTGATGCATAGGGGTTACTCCTCACTCTGCACTCAGGAGTTACTTCTAGCAGTGCTCAGGGAACCATATGGGGTGCTGGGAATCAAACCCGGGCTGGCCACGTGCAAGGCAAACCCCTACCCGCTGTGCTGTCTCTCCAGTTCCCTTCTATTTATTTTTTAACTGTCGTCTTGTCCCCACCCCAAATAAAGCAATAAAAAAATACTTCTTATCTAGCGGAAATTTTAGTTTTGAATTCACTGGTATTTTAATTCATAATATTGGTGGATATTACCAGGAGTGGCTATTTCTACAGAAATAATTACTATGGTAGCTTCTTTATTAGGGTCTTGGGGGTGGGTGGGTAGGTATTGGCCCCTTCCCTGCTGTGCTCAGGACTTACTCCTGGCTCTGTTCTTGGGGATCACTCCTGGTGGTGTTCAGAGGACCATGTGTGTGCCAGGGATCAAACCCAGGCCCACCATTCGCCAGGCAAGTGCCTTATCCCCTGTACTACCTCTCCTTTTGATTACAAAAAATACATCAGGAACCAGGGAGATAGTACAGGGGTTTGAGCATCTGCCTGGCATGATATGATGACCCCCCCCCGCTACATAGCTGGATGCAGCCTAGAAAGCCCCCAAGCAGTGTTGGGGTGGTCCTAGTGGTACCCTGCACCACAGGCTTAGAGCAGCAGCATTGTCAGGCACTGGACTAAGCCGTTGGCCTACTTGGCCAAGTGGGCCCTGGACCCCCTGATTATCACTTGGGAGGCTCCTCCCCCCAACCCAAGAGGACAGACTTCTTCCTTTATATTAGAAAGAACAGAGGGACTTGAGAGCTATTTTCAGCATTTTTTCAGCAGGATATATTTGAGGAGTCACACCCCTTCACAGACTGGAGATCTGGAGACAGTCTACATCAGGGACCCCCAAACCCATCTGGCTTACCACTCACTCCCTTTGCAGACTCAGTGCTCCCCGGGGAATGGAACTAAGTGACCCACAACAGCACCCAAAGCTGCATCTGCTCCAGCCAAGGCATTATCGTTCGTTTTGGGAGACACTGGTTGTGGCCAGCCAACTCAGATTGGTTTTTAAATTTCGTTTTTGTGCCACGTGTGGTGGTGCTCAGGGCTGACTCCTGCCACGGCGCTCAGGGATCACTCCTGGTGGGCTCAGGGGGCTGTAATGGGGTGCCGGGGTCAGCTGTGTGCAAGTGTCTTACCTGCTGGACTCTCTCTCCAGCCCCGATTATTAAATATTTTTTTTTAAGATCATCACTAGGAAGATAAATTAGAGCTTTTGTATGTGTTTGCTGGAAGCCTTGCGCTGAACTTGGTCAGTGTCTGTTATTTGTAGTGTGATGATGTATCTTGTGGAGGCTGATTGCAAGAGCTCCGACCTTCTTGACCCCGCTGCCTGATGCTCATAAACTATCTCCTTGTGGCTGTCCAGAGCCCTCACTGACGCTGTCCTCCCTGGAGGGCAGCCTCGTCTCGGTTGAGCGCACTGACAGTTTTCGATGGATGGAGCAGTTTCAGTCTTTCTTGATCTCCTCTTGTGCATTCATTGTCTTAGAAAATACAGCCGAAAATACAGTCTGCGCTCGGGCACCTTTAGATGGAGGTGTGACCTCTGGTTCTAGAATTTTAAAGGCCTCTAGTTCTTTACCATTCCTAAGAGACGGCTGGGCAAGCGTGTTACTTTTATTGCTGGGAAGAGTTGAGGGGAAATGGTGAGTTTTCAGCTAGAGTCTGTCCTCTGGTAAGTCTGCACCAGCGTTTGGGAGGTGACTCTGGCTCCCGCTTGGCGCTCGCTCAGGAAACTGCCCCTGGCCCCATGGTAGGGCCCTGATATGGGCGATTCGATGCCCAGGCTCTGGTGTGGCCACCGTGGACTTAGCAGTCTCCAAGCTTTGCCTCCTGTCCCTCTCACCTTTTAATCCAGCAGTTCTGTGGGACAGATTTACTGCAAATGCGTGATTGGATTTGGTTAAATTTGCCTCTGGCTTTATTGGGAAAAGGGGAGGGGGGCTTGAATTCTGTATTTTATCTACTTATTTTTGGGGCCACACCTGGTGCTGCTCGGGGCACGTTCCTGACTCTGCACTCAGGGACCACTCCTAGCAGGACTTGGGGGGCCATATGGAGTGCTGAGGATTTAACCCAGGTTGGGTGCATGCAAGACAACACCCTATCCACTATTGTACTTTGGCCCCCAACCTCGATAACTTAAAAATCTTTTTCCTTTTTTTTTTTTTGTGTGGGGGGCAGACCTGTTGCTCAGGAATTGTTTTGGTGGGGCTCGGGGGACCCTACGGGCTGCCAGGGATCAAACCCAGATTGACTGCAGGTAAGGCAGTGCCCTGCCCACTGTACCATCGCTCTGGGCCCCCTAAGTTAAACTCTTGAAACCCTCAGGTTACACTCATCCCCTCCTTAGCTGTGCTGCAGATACATTGTACCTCACACCCATCCAGCCCTTTCCTTGCTGCCAGCTCCTGGACCTGGGAGTTTTAGAAGGAAGTGCTGCGGGTGCTGCCGCAGGCCTCGTAGCAGAACCTCGTTGGGGCTGGCCGCTGCTCCAGTGTCTGCCTCAGCAGCCCCAGCTTCCTTCCTTCCAACACTGTGTGTCGTCCGTGGATTCGAGGCGTCCTTTAGAGAGAGGGCCTGCGAGTCCCTGCCCCGAAGCAAGGAATGCGTTCTAAGCTGAAGGAGATGCCGCATCCACCAGCCTGTTGGATCCGGGGGCTGCTGTTCCCAGAGTTCCCTTTGGCCTCTAGTTTTACCCTTTTCGGGCTCTTTTTTCCAAATCATGGCAATGTTCTGGAATAGTTCTTTTTTTCTTGAGGGTTTTTTTTTTTTTTAGAAATAATAGAACCCAGCTAATTATATGACATGAAAAGTAACACAAGTACGAAACTGCCTTAAAAATGCCAGTTAGCTGGCATCACAAGAGCCTCTCTTCCTCTCTTCTCAAGTGTCTCTTAAAATTCTAGTAAAGCTGTTTTTCCCTCACCCATTGTTTAACTTCCTAATGACTGTTTTCCTATTGTGTTGTTCCCTCCACCCCCAGAGTTCTGGATAGCGTTGTAGTTCTATTCTGCTGACCTGCCATTAAACAAAAAATCATGAACATGTAATCTGTTGCGTCTTCCATCTTTGCTTAGTCTTTTGTTACAAACTTTCACATTCATCTTTCAATTTCTTATTTTTCCTTCCGCTCACCTTCCCCCTCCCACCATTTTTAAAATTATGTGGCACTAGGGATTCAGGCCATGCTTGGTGAAATGCAAGGCAAGTGCCTTCGCCTCTGAATTATCTCTCTGCCCCTCAGCTTCCCCCATTTGTTCCTTTCCTTTACCTAGTTGTGGTCTATTACTTGCAGCCTTCTAGACAAATGATGTCTGTAGTTATTGTTTAACTGACTTTTCCTTTTAATCATGGAAATGATCCAAACCATTTTAATTATATAATTGCATAAAATATATTCTGAGTTCAAAAGGTTGTTGGTGTGGGGTGACTTTTGTCACTTTGACATGTGCATGGGGGGGAGATATGCTCAGTTTATAATGAACCTTCCCATTTTGTCCCCTTTTTCCAGGTTGCTAGGAAGAGGCTCAATGTTTGTGTTTTCACCAGATCAGTTTCAGAAACTGCTTAAAATCAACCCAGATTGGAAAACCCATAGACTTCTTGATTTAGGTGCAGGAGACGGAGAAGTCACAAAGATCATGAGCCCTCATTTTGAAGAAATCTATGCCACGGAGCTGTCTGAAACGATGATATGGCAGCTGCAGAAGAAGAAGTACAGGTACAGTTCCAAGGTGGCGTGGGGAGTTCGTCTTGGTTTTAAATGTATATTCTCGAGAGTCTATTATTTCAAAGCTGTGGAACAGAAAATGTTTCCTATGACTAGGAATTTTGTTTTGCAACACACCCAGTGGTGCTCAGAGTTTACGCCTGGCTGTGCTCAGGGATCACTTCTGGTGGGACTTGGGAGGCCATTTGGGGTGCTGGTGATCGAACCCTAGTTGGCCACGTACAAGGCCAGCACCCTACCTGCTGTACTATGGCTCTGACCCCTCCACACTTAGGAATATTTAGAATACCTTCCCATTAACAAGTAAGTGGAGGGAGCGGAACTGGCACTGAAGGGAGTGAAAAGGCAAGTGAGAGGTGATGTGGAACAGGCAGATTTGATAAGGAACCTGATTCCGAGTTGGAATTTGGCATTCTCAGGTCTTTGCTGAGTTGCTTTACTCAGTTAAATTCCCATTCCCTCCCCTCCCCCACCCCTTTTGGACCACACCTAGCATTGCTCTGGGGTTACTCTCCACTGCGTTCAGGATCACTCTTGACCATATTGGCTAAGGGGATCACATGGTATGCTGGGGATTCAACACTGGTCAGCCGCGTGCAAGGCAAACACTCTACCCACTGTACTATATTTCTGGCCCCCAATTAAATCACTTTTGTTTAAAAAAAAATAAATTATACATCCCTTCCTTGCTCCTGTCAACTGCCATTTTTACTTTTTGTCTCTGAATTTGACCCGAGAAACCTTGAATGAGTCATAGAACATATTTCCTTGTGTGACTGGCTTCTCTCACTCAACTCTTTCTCTAAGGCTTATCAAAGCCATCTTAATATTCCATAGTGTATATTGTCTGCATCTTGTGGATCTGTTCTACAGCAGATTGGGGTTGCTTCCATGTTTTTGCTATTATGAATAATGTGCTGTAAATATAGGTGCATAGATACTTGAGTCACTGTTTTCATGTCTTTGAGGTATCTACGGCAAAACCTGGCAAGCTCCCCGTGACATATTCTGTATGCCAAACACAGTAACAAGTCTCACGGTGTTACTGGGCCCGCTCGAGCAAATCGATGAACAATGGGAGGACAGTGACAGTGACCCAGAAGTGGTCTTCCTGTATATTTGTTTAATTTCTTGGTTTCTGTTTGTTTTTGCCATACCAGCTTCCACAGGAGAGTCATTTCATATTCCCCCAGCAATGAATGAGGGTTTTAGTTTCTTTATATCTTTGCCAATACTTACGATTTTCAGGGTGTGTGTGTATGTTTGTTTAAATAATGGCTATCCAATGAGTGTGAAGCTCAGATTTTTTAAGACCATCTGCTGCTTGAGCGACTTAGGAAAAAGTCTATTTTGTAATCAGTTGAGTGGGAGAACTTGTTGAATATGAAAAGGGAAACAGGCTTCAGGTTTGGATTCTTGTTATATGTTTTGGCAGCCAGGCTTTATTTTAGAAGGAAAGGAGAAGGAATTAGCTCTTGACTTACTGGCCTGGCCACCTCAGCTCCTTCTCTGCACAGGCTAACCACAGAGGCAGGAGTTAACGTAGCCCTTAGGGATAGCCCCGGGCACATTCGTCTCGCCGAGCAAACTGATTCGTAAGATCCTCCCTAGTGCCAGCAGCCCCGCTCAGATTCTGGTGGGTCTGTTTGATGGTAATTGATTTTCCTTCAGTTCAATATTAATCCCCCCATTTCACAGCTTGGAATGTTTTGTCCTTTGTTGCAGCAATGGTTGAAATCACGCTGCGTTAATTCATGTGTAAAATCTATTAGTGGTTCGACCAAAATAGGAAATTCAAGCTGTTGGCCCTCCCTACATAATGTTAAAAGTATGAAATAGAAACCTTTACAAAAAGGGAAGCTTGTAATAAGGATTTGGTGATATGTTAATGAGTGGTTGGAGCATCTTACCTGCTGGTGGGGGGTGTGTGGAGGCCTATCTCACTTCTGCTGTGCCAAGGATGGCGCCCAGGCCTCTGCCTGCCACGCTCATGTGAGCCCCAACCCTGAGAGCTGTCTCTCTGGCCTTCACTGAGCTTTTATATTTTTTTTTTGCTTTTTCGGCAATGCACAGGAGTTAATCCTGGCTCTGCACTCAGGAATTACTCCTGGCGGTGCTTGGGGGACCATATGGGATGCTGGGAATCGAACACAGGTTGGCCGCATGCAAGGCAAACAACGCGCTGTGCTATCGCTCCAGCCCCGTTCACCGACCATTTTTATCTGGTGTCCTGAGCTTTATTGCTCTCTCTCTCTCTCTCTCTCTCTCTCTCTCTCTCTTTTGGGGGAGGGGTGTAGTTTTTCAACTATGAAGATTCTAGAGTATGAATAGCACTGTAGCACTATCCTCCCATTGTTCATCAATTTGCTCGAGTGGGCCCAGTAACGTCTCCATTTTGAGACTTGTTGTTACTGTGTTTGGCATATCGAATACATCACGGGGAACTTGCCAGGCTTTGCCGTGCGGGTGAGATACTCTTAGTAGCTTGCCGGGCTCTCCGAGAGGGATGGAGGAATCGAACCCGGCTTGGCCGTGCTGGCCGCGTGCAAGGCAAACGCCCTACTGCTGTGCTATCTCTCCTGGAACTAGAGACACTCCCCAAATGTCTTAGGTTATAGCAGAAATGATGTGATGCCACCCTAAAGTTCCTTCGAAACAGGCACCCTGGGAATTGAAAGCCAGACTCTCTCATGTCTTTCGTGCTTCAGTTCTAGTAAAGTGGAGAGAACTTTTCTCCATAAACTGATGTTCAAGAATTTGATGCCCTTGGTTCATAAATGGTTTTTATAGCCTTAAATATTTTTCAGACTAAGGAGATTTTACGTTTTAGGGTTTGGAAATAGGTCAGATAGCTAAATGTAAAGAAATATGCTTTTTTACCTGGTAATTCTTATTACTGTAGATATAAATTGTAAATGAAAAATTTAAATTTACTTTGATTTAGGAGACAGTGCAAGCCTTTACTGGAATCTCTTATTTTTATATTTTTATTTTACTGTTTTGGGGTTAGACCCAGACCCAGAGATGCTTACTCCTGGCTGTGTGTTCAGGGATTACTCCTGGCAGGGCTTGGTGGGGGACAGATGGGATGTGCTAGGAAAATGCCTTACCTACTACTATCTCACCGGTTCTGGCATCTCTATTTTTTTTTTTTTTTATAATTTATTTATTTATTGAATCACTGTGGGAAAAGTTACAGAGCTTTCGGGTTTAGGTCTCAGTCATGTAGATACCGAACACATTTCCCTTTACCAATACTCATTTTTAACCCTGAACCCCAATAGACCCCCACCTCCCACCCCTCCCAATTCTTATGAGGCAGATGAGTTCTAGTTAATACTCTATCTACTTTGACTAGATAGATTATTTCGATAGAAGATGCACAATTATTGTTTAGAGTTTACGACCCACCCACCCCCCCCAATCAGACATGCTGAAACAGCGTTGTGAAATGATTTGCTTTCTACAACTTGGTTTAAGAATAAAATGATGTCGCGCGGCCGCGATAGCGGCCGCGCGGTTTTGAATTTCTGCTATTTTACTTATTGACCCTGGAAGAATTTCTATTAAAAGTTAGCTAGTTAAGAGATTGATTTCTGTGCCCTGGAGTCGTGGCCGTGCCGGAGAGCCGCTCGTGGGGGGCAGCTGGCGACCTCGGTGGGGCGTGGGGGACCTGGCATCTCTATTTTTAAAGATAACTCGGAGGGACTTTTTAATCAACTCGATTCTTCTGACTTTTCTAGAGTTCTTGGGATAAATGAATGGCAGAATACAGGATTCCAGTATGACGTCATCAGCTGCTTGAATTTGCTGGACCGTTGTGATCAGCCTCTAACTTTGTTAAAAGATATCAGAAGTGTTTTGGAGCCAACTCGGGGCAGGGTCATCCTTGCCCTGGTCTTACCCTTTCACCCCTATGTGGAAAACGGTAAGTGTGGCCAGCAGCCTTTCAGCATAAGTGTCAACTGCTGACTTGGTTATTCGGTGGTTCTGTTCCATGGTGGTAATGTGATTCTGTTTCCTAGAGTAACCCGGAGTTTACAATGAATGCAGTCAGCCTGTAAAACAACACCTTGGTTAATGTTCGTTTTATAGAACTTTAGTGTTCCTGGCAGTGGCAATAATTAATACTCAACTGGGCTTTCTGTTGGAGATTAAAAGCCTAGCGTGTCTGTATTTTCTGCCTTTCAATGGAGCCTTTGAATCATTTATTTATTAGTTTATAAGCCGAGTCAAGCAATAAATGGTGCCAATAAATCTTCTCGGAGACGCTTGCTGAATGGCATCGTATTGTGTTGTACATTTCCTGCTCCAGATTCTAAAAATGAGAAATGTTATTTGTTTTTCCTTTTTGATGATAGTTGAGTTCCATCATGTATTCTTTGTGTGACATCTGAGGTTTTTGAGCCCATGATCTTTTTTTAACACAAGTTTGAATGAAGAATCTGTTGTGTGGGTGCATTCTCTGTCTTGGCGATCCCCCCTTGGTCCAGTCTGCTTGAGATGTATACGCCTGGTCTCTACTCTCTTGACAAGCTCCTGTTCTTACTTGAATACATGAAACTCACTCCCTTCCCTGCAGAGCTCACGTGGACCCCAACCCTGAGAGCTTTCTTTTTCTCTTTCCTTTGTTCTTTCTCCTCATATTCCCCTAAATAAAACTATTTTTTTAAAAAAATGACTTGTCTGGGGATGTGGCTTAGTGGTGGAATACTTGCATGGCTCAGGGTTCGCTTCCTGGTACCACAAAAGCAAAGAACCAAAAAAGAATCTAGTGCTTCCTATTCACTGTGACTGCCGACTCTTAATTCACGGTTTCACCTTTGGTTTGCATGTTAGATCATGTTGAAAGTTGTGGCTCTCAGACTCTTTTTCACTTTTGAATTGTTAACATAAGCTAACACATTTATTGTGTAAGTGATGCACATTAATATTTAAAAATTGTTAGTTTTTCTATTTTATTGCCTACTTCTGCCTTGGGTTCAGCAGCTTATGAGCTTGCAGACATTTTTCTGTTGCTGCTTTTGAAGTAAGCACATCTGCCACTTCCTTCCTCCAGTTCAAATGTTCGTGAGGGGAGAGAAGGCACAGGAGTCTTGGAATTCCTGTGGCCCCATCAAGCAGGCCTCTGGGGGGGTGGACGTACTTGCTCAGTGGGGGGTGACTGACCTGAAGCTACTCCCTCCTGCTTCTAGTCTGTTCCATTGAATGGGGCGAAGGTTTCCTGAGCTCCAGCAAAGCCATCCCAAACCCCTCAGCCGCAGCTGCTCTTCTTAGAATGACAAACTTCAGGCAAGGGGCCTCCTTGAGGAACTATGTGGGTGTGTATTCGGGGGTGAGGGCATCAGACACTCTGGTCCCAGGAGGGGGCGGTCCCTGCGCCCAGCCCTGATGCGAGTGTCCACGCAGTTCCCAGGAATCAGATGAGGTCAGCACCTTTCCCCATCTTCCCTGGGGGCCTCTGGGATCCTGCGTGCTCCAGAGCGCTCTCCCACCTCCCCCAGCAGGTCAGTGTCCCCCGTGACCAGCTCTCGCCTCTCCTTGGGTGGGTTGCTCGGTCCCCTGTGCTCAGATGGCGCCCCGCTTCTGCGCCGTCTGCTGGGCTCTCCTCCCTGTTGCCGTCTGGCAGAGTCTCTGGAGACCCCACGCCATTGGCGCCGCTTCTCAGGTGCTCGGCCTCCTTGTGCTCCTGGCGGGGTCCCACAGTGCAAGCCTCCGAAGGTGCCCGCGTGGAGTGGCTGTAGCATGACTGCCGCAGGGGTCGCCGACTGTGGGGTCTGGTGTGCCGGAGTTCGGGAGCAGACACCTGCTATCCCTCAGCAGCTGGCCTTGCTGGCCTCGGTCATCAGGCCTGTGGTGGGCCAGGCAGTTGGCCATGAGAGCCACAGTCCCACAGTGGGGAGAGCTGCAGGCATTTCGCAGTTTTACATTTTTAAGAAATGCATTAACAGTTTCGTCAGCGTGGAAATCCATGCTTCCATCTGGGGCCTCTGTTGCCACGCGGGTGCTCCTTCCCTGCTCGTCCTTATTTTCACTCCTAGGTCGGGGTCCCTTCAGTGCCAGGGTCATGTCCGCACAGGGTCTGGGGGATGGGGAAACGGGAGAATTCTTCAGACGGCCGTGTCGGGGGAAACCTCCCCTCTCCCGCTGTGTGCTCTCACGTGTCTGCTGTTGGCTGTGCGGCGTGGGAAGGAGAAGACTCTCCACATGAGTGTCCACCTGTCATCTGGACAGCGACAGGCCTCGTGCCGGTCTCCCGCGCTCTGTGGCCTGCCACGGATTCCGCGCTGTTCCCTGTGTGACAGGGCCTCAGCTCGCTCTTGGCTCTGCAGGTTGCCAGGTTGTGCGATCCTGGTGCCCGGTGCCCCGTTGGGCAAGTGCCTGACGGATCTTGCCTGTGACTTCCTGGCTTAGCAGGAGGCGGGGGAGCGGGGGGAGAAACATCAGTCTACCCGTGCATTTCACGCCAGGATCCTCACCTGAGAAAAGGAGAGGAAGTTGGGTTAGACCCCTGGGGACCCCTCGACCCCAGCAGGACCAGCACGAGCTCTTTGCCCTTGCTTGAGTTCCCCGAGCCTCACTGGGGTGACCTTTGGTGACCTCTCCAGACTGCTCTGTGGCACTGTGACTGCATCCCTTTCCGAGTCGCTCATTCAATCCTGATGATTGCCATGTCTTCTGGCTGGGAGACCCCCTCACTGCTGCCCACTCACGGTTTGGCTGTGGTGCTTGTGGGCAGGAGCCGCAGCGGGGTCCGTCTGTGCTCTCATCAGGAGATTAAGGGCAGCCCTGTGGGGGCTCTGAGATAGGAGAGACTTGGCTCATATGGGTGGCTGCAGGAATCAGACTGGTGGCCTCAAGCAGGCCAGGCACTTTCCGCCATTGAGCCATCCCTTACTTCTTAGGTGATGCTCTTCCTGTCTTGAAGTTGAACTACAGCAGTTTTGTTAATTGTGGTTTTCTCGGGGAGGGGGGGGGGGTGAGGGGGAAGAACAAAAGACAAGATGTAGCTTTCTTAAAAGTTTGATTTAATATAACCTAATTTTGTCTAGAGACTATTGATCTAGTGAGAATTATCTTAATGCATTAAAAAAGAGAAAAACAGGTGAAGGAACATTAATTACACTGCAAATCCGAAAATATAGCGACTTTAATTTTTAAAAATTACAATTTTTGTGAATAGATAAATCATGGTAAGAAGAGTTCAAGCAACTTACAGGATGGTTTGAGATGAAAGTTGCTCCCTTACACCAGTCATACAGGTTTTTTTTTTTTTTGGTCACACCTGGCGATGCTCAGGTGTTACTCCTGGCTCTCCACTCAGGAATCACTCCTAACTACTGGTGGCACTCAGGAGATCATATGTGATGCCCGGGATGAAAACCAGGTCGGCCTCTTGCTAGGCAAATGCCCTACCCACTGTTCCATGGTTCCAGCCTAGTCATACGATTTTTTTAGGGTTTCTTAAAAATCCTTCCAAAGAGAGTGTGCAAAACTACTATGTATGTGTACATGAAGTAAACTGAGTATATAATTAAAACTCATTATGAGTACTTCTGTTGCTTTTTCCCACTGTTTATCTAGGAAATTATCACCTAACTGCACATAGATGAATATGTCTACATCAGTGGGCGTGAGCAGTGAGATGCTGGAGCTGGTTTTACTGGCTTCTGAAAGTTGATTGTTGTATTGGCAGGAATTTAGTGGCCACTATTTAAGTTGACCGTAGTGGCAGAACTGAAACAAAGTGGATGTTGGCAAACACAGGTGGCCGCTCCCCTCTCCAAACTGGTTGGTAAATATTTACCCACACAGTATATGATGATTTTCCCTGAGGAGTTCCCGTTTGCCTGGTTTTTATTACTGGTTTTCCATTTGCTTTGTAAGTAGCAATGAAATGAACACTCCAAGATCAGTCCTCACAAATGTACAATATCAGGATGCTTTCTGCTTCAAGAAACAAGGGGCATTTAGAAATTAGAAAAACATTTAGAAATTGTTTTGAAATTGTTTAGAAAAAGTTCATTTTAGAAAAGTGGTTTAAATTGATTGAGACAACTGTTCCCTTAGAGTTCAGAGCTTGCCTTTCCCCCTCCCCCCCAGAGTTTTAACTTTCCTTTCAGAACTACAAAATAGCAGTGTAGACACAACAAAATCTTGAGGCGAGAGGAGCCTTCTCTCCAAACATGGGTTTTGGTTTGTGTTTTGGGGAAGAAAGCTTTCCCAGAAATTTGCCCAGTATTTCAGATCTCGTTGGCAAAGCAGGGGTCAGAGGGCATATACTTTGCCCTTGTACCAGCAATGCCAGGGGATGAAGACAATCCTGATGTCCTCTCAGGGTCTGGAGTTGTAGTTTTCTGCAGATTTGCTCTGTGAGGCTGAGCTTGCAGGAGGTAGAAGAAACTCAGTTTCTGAGCTCTTTGTGTAGGAATGTCTTTATTTTTTTTGGTTGTTGTTTTTGCTTTGGGGGCCACACCAGGCTATGCTCAGGGCTTACTCCTGACTCTGAGCTCAGGAATTACTCCTGGCAGAGCTTGGGAGACCAGATGGGATGCCAGGGATCGAACCTGCGTCAGCCACATGCAAGGCAAATGCCCAACCAGCATTAGGCATTGCTCCAGCCCCTCTTCATTTAAGTGCATATTGAATGCCTGGATGCTGGAGATACAGTGAACAAAAAATGTACAATTACCTGTGCTCTGGTGGAGTCTACATTCTAGTAAGGAAGACCAGACAAATGGCATGGGGTTGGTGATGAGTGTCATGGATGAAAAGAAACAGATTCAGAAGGTTTATGGAATTGGATGTTAGGATTTTATAGAGGTTACTTGGATGGTCACAGGAGAAAAGACTCAAAGGAAGGAAGGATTAAATGACTGTTACCTTTAGAGGGAGAGAACAAAAGGGAATGCCCTGCCACAGAGGCAC